CCCCAAAACCCCAAAACCCCAAAACCCCCAAAACCCCAAAACCCCAAAACCCCAAAACCCCTTTATTCATTTTAAGTGCTGAAATTATGAATGGTGCTTAATCTTCATTTGGAACAATCTCAAGTGTCTCGCTCTGTCTGAGTTCAGAAAGGATCTTAAGATCTGACTCTGGCATCTTGTAATCTTTGTTGGCCATATTATAGGTAGAGTATTCCTCCTCGTCGGTAACTTCCCGAATAAACTTAATAAAGGTGGGTCTCTCTACCTTCTCGACATCATTCTCAGTTTCGATTCTTAAAAGGGAAGGTCTACCTTCAATATTCTCGAAAGTATCGATCACGAAGAACTGGTTCTTGTAGATAAAACTCATTCTTGTCTTCTCAAGCTCTATTTTAGTGTCGTCTTGCTTCTCATGAATCATCTGAATGAAATCTCTGGAAGAAATCTGCTTCTTTCTCGTAGTGCACTGGTCTTCCTTAAAAACCTTTGTCTCCAATGTGTAATTGAATGACCTCATATCTCCTTTTTGGATTATTTTCACTTCCATGTTGGGTGGAGAAGTCAGGAAAAACTCTCTTACAGTGAAGTTCTCGATTGAAATACCTGGCTCGTTGATTTCATATGTCTGTACAAGATATTTACAGTTGAAGATTGTAGCTTGTGGAATTCCGAGGAGATTCAAAACTCATCTTTCAACTCTATCAATTTTCTCCTCAAAAGATTTCACTTTGTTATCAATAAGGTAAAATTGTGAATGACCGGACCAGTTCTTTCTAATGGTTTGATCAACTCTTTTTGCTGGCTCAACTGCTTCATATCTAGCTTCATTGGTTCCTAAATCATAATGTTCGACTGCTCCATCAGCTGCTGTGACCATATGTACAACTGCATCGTATCTTGAGTCTCTAAGGTGGACTTCGTTCCATGACATTTCATCTAGGATACTCTGCCACACTTGCTCTGAGACATAAGCTTTGCCATCAATAAGGCCCCTGTCACAAAGAATCACTACTGGTTTATCAGAAGTAGAAGCTGCGTACTCTACTATAAGATCTTCGATAAAGATCTGGTACCTCATAAGGCAACTCTGGAACTGGATCTCGTTGAGTCTAGTGAAGTTTGTATTATCAATCAAAAACCCAGCTTTCATTAGCGTTGTAGCTGCTTCTGGAACTATAAAGACCCTGTACCCAAGGCTCGCGAGGGAGTTGAAGAGAGAAGACATGGCAGTGGTCTTCCCAGCGCATGGACCTCCCGTGAATCATATTTTAATAATAGGCTCGTCATTTTCGGAGTACCTCCTCCTCATGGCTGGCTGGATAACCTTAAATCCTTTGTCTTTATCAGAATGTTTCTCACTAAGTTTCCCAATAGTTTCCTTAATGGCAAGGTTAATAATGTCTTTTATCTCCTCCTGTTCGATTACTTCTTTGTTGAATTTCACCTTTTTAGGCTCGTTTTGGGATTTCTCATCTTCCTTTTTCTCCTCTTTGGCTGAAGTAGAGCTGGATGAGGGAGACATCCACTTGTGAATGAGGAAAGATCCAAGAATTCCAGCTGCAACTCCTAATAGGAGAGTTGATGTTTGATTCTAAAGATGACTGAAAGCTTACCTTTTGTTCAGACATTTTTATGATACTTATTATTTTTGTCCTCAATTTCTTCAAAATTAAGAGGGGTTTTGGGGTTTTGGGGTTTTGGGG